ATCTCTTCTTTTTGTCGCGCAAACTTTGCCTTTGCGCGCGAAAACTTTTTACCACACACAAAGGCGACATTTGCTCGTTTTCTCGTCGCGAATAAGTTTTGTTCTATCTTATTTTTCGCGTTCGCGATTCGCTTGAATTTGCGAAAAGGCGTGTAATTGACAAGGCGCTATCGCGTTACGCAGTATAACGGACTGGAATATTCTACGTGACTAACAAGGCGAATTGTGTTGTACTAGATACGCGTAGAGGAACTTTCGGGAGAATCTCGAGACGCGATGTGATAGTCAGATATGTTGCTACAAATTCTCATTGGGAGACCTGAGATAGGGATATACGCGCACAATCACGCGTAATGACGTAATCACATTACAGCGAGAGAATCCTCGTTAGGGTAAAAATCACAGGCGGGGGGGGGGTTTGTGTGTGTTCCTCGGTTTAACTACCAAGCTATATACTTTCCGGATGAACATCAAGATCTTTCACGGAAAAGAGAGAGTTAGTCGAGATTAGAGAGCGTAGTTAATTAAAGCGCGCGCATTCAGAATAGAGTTCTGCCGCGTCGTAACAAAAGCTTTAAGCGTAGTATGATTGCGAGCGAAGCTATATATTCGTTTACTGTTTCTACTTTTCCAAAATAGCGTTTTATTGTACAGTTACTTCTAATTTGATATTTAATCGCTAAACATTTGATTAAAACTAATTTGTTTTTTTTTTTTGCGATTGGTTTAGTAGAAAGATATATGATCTGTATGTGTGCATTTTTTTGGGGAAAAATCTGTCGCAATAAAAAGCGCTCAACTTTTATAGCGTGGATAGAATCAAAAAGTGTTTGCAAGCTTTTAATGAATTTGTTTTTACGCGCATGTTGTAGCTTTTTTTATATTCGATTTCCACATTAAAGTTGTCCTCTATTTTTCTTATTTCGCGCACAGTCCGAGAATTCACAGCAATCTGCTATTATTTATTGCTATCCTATTCACAGCAATCTGCAGACTCTCGTTGAACGCAATTGATTCTCGAATTTTTACGGCATTTTTTTTAGAGATTGTTATAAATCGAAGATTGAATATATGAACAGTGGCGATTATATTATACACATGATAATTGGTCACGTGTTATCTCAGATACGAGCGAGTGAGTGAGTGAGAGAGAATGAGAGAAAAAGACAAAGAAAAAAAAACGTAGACAGGGTAGACGCGATTGAAGAGAATCTCTCCGCATAAAAACCGCGTAATGAATATCTATACCGAGATACGCTTCTGTGTGATACACGACACAAAAAAAAGCGTGTCGCGTCCGGAGATATCGATCGTCGACGCAACGCGAAGCGGCGGCGACAGCATCCGCAACGCGTGAGAGAGAGAGAGAATCATATGATTCTCCGGCGCATTATGCGTGTGCGCTCTTTCCTCTAACGGCGGAAGGTCGAAAAGGAAGCGAGGAGCGATTTTTTCGTCCGTAATCCACGGACAATGCATAAATGTCTGTCGGGAGCGAAGGAAACATTCCATTAAGGAAATGAGCCGAGCGCCATGTTAAATTACGTTTGTTTCGTGCCGCGAAACGACGTCTCTTTCCACCCTTGAGCTCTCTCTCTCTCTCTCTTTCTTTCTCATCTCCCGGCAAGCGTGCCATTGTGGAAACCGTAATTTGGCCTGAAACCATATTTTTAATTGATGCTTTCTCTAAATGAACCGACACGACGAAAGAATTGTTTTATAACTCAAAAAAATAAAAAAATAAAAAAAATTATGATATTCACTCGCGCGTTAATAAAAATTATTAAGTGCGACGCGCGAAAGATGATATCTCGCATGCGTCACAAGCATTTTGTATGTACATTTTATAAGAGTTTAGATGTGTTTATTTTGTGTTGTATGTACAATGTTTGTGCCGCAGATAATATGCCGCCACGCATACTTGTTTTATTAAATTACATTTAATATTAAGAAAACATCATAAATAAGTTTGTTAATTAGAGTTTACGTTTTACATGTAAATTAAGCTTTTTTATACGATCGCGCAGAATTAAAGTCGTTGCGCGTTGTGTACGAAGATAAGGCGAGATAACACTCGGGATAGAAATAGAGCGCTATTGCGAATCGTTATAGACATCGCAAACACGATGGGAAGACATAAGGCGCGCTCGCCTCACTTAATACAGTTGCTGTCATTATCGTACACTAACTGCTCGTTATATCGTAATAAACGCCCAATGCGTGTCTGTATGTGTATACGCGGAAGCAGGTCGCGAACTAATGCAACCCATTCAACGTAATTACGCTACCTGTTACGTGTCACTTGTAGTCCGCATCAAGATCACATCGTGCGACGAACTTCGGTTCGGCTAATCATCGAAGACTGAATCTGACGTATTTTGCGGAATATTATGTCGATTGCTATTTCGGAATGCGTAAATGTAAATATGTAGAAACGTGTAAATTTCGATCTTTGAAAAATTAAGAAACTCAATGTTTCAAGATTTGCAGAAAGAGAACCAAACGTGTAATATAATTATGCAAATAATGAATGACCGCGATGTTTTGATTATTTAAAATAATGTGACACACGATTTATTTTCTATACGAACATATTTATATATTATAAAATCATTTCGAAAAACGTATATAAATTATTATGGAATAGTAACACACATGTGGTAATATATATATATTTTATGTTAATAATATATCTTTTATTTTTAAAAGTGCATTCTCAATTTTCCGCAATTATTTGATTTTATACGTGGATAAATATTATAAATAGATTAATAAATAAATTAATTATATAAACGAGTTATTAGTTAATTTACTAAAGCTTTTGCTTTTTTGTTTTTGTATATTTTATCTTGTTTTTGACATGATAAATTTATGACTAAATATTAGTTTATTTTTTATTTATAAATCTGTTATAGGATAACATAAATAGAATAACGAATAGAATAACACGAACGCGTATGGTTACGTTTGTTAAATATCACGTAAGTGTTCGATGAATACTAATCTGTCGCATTTGTGCGAGATACATTTTACATTGTCGCATCCAAATATCAATGCCATATGGTATTTATCTTAACTAAATACAATATTTGGTCACATTTCCTGGAACAGGATTTAATCTTTGCGCATTCGGCATTATTCTCATGCCAGATGCATCACGATTCAAAATTATTATTTTTACGCGGAATATCACGTATGTAGAAAAGAGAAAAAAGCTTATAAAAAGTTTTAACAATAAAATCCTTTTTATATTTAAAACAACGACGCGACGTTGTAAAATTTAAAGGAAGACAAAACATAATCGCTACTGTTTTTCGTGTGAAAGAATGAGATAAATCTGTATTTCAGATTTAAAATTTTGTGAAACTGCGTGGAAAAAAAAAACAAAATGCAGCAACAACAAAATGTATAACTAACGTTAAAAAAAAAAAAGCTTTAATCTTTGTGTCAAATATTTTATCAATGTTGATTGTGTGTCGAAGTGCGAAAAGAGAGAGAGAGAGAGAGAGAGAGAGAGAGAGAGAGAGAGAGAGAGAGAGAGAGAGAGAGGGAGGGAGGGAGGGAAGACGAGACGTTTCGTTTGAAGATAGCCTTCTCTTCTTTCGGAATCATTCATATTCATGAATGTCATTAAACGCGATTTTCGAAGGCTGCTTCAAGAGATTGACGGGAATGTTCTTCGACAATATTAGATCAACGGGACAAATATTTGATGCGCGACACGACTCTCTCGTTGTGGAACCGATTTTGTGTGTGTGTGTGTGTGTGTGTGTGTGTGTGTGTGTGTGTGTGCGCGCGCGCGTATCTGTCTGTTTTTCTCGCGTTCTTCCTTCGACTTCGATATCCACCCTGCTCAAAAACTTTTGCTCGCGACGGTTGATCAACGAAACTTCGACGATAAAGTTTTGAAGCCGCGTTACATCGATTCGCGCTCGTGAGAGAAGAACGGCAACACTCGCGACTTCGAGCGCAAGCAAGAGAATAAATCCATGCCCGTGGGTTATGAATGCTTTATAACTCAGAGGCGACTTTGTTGTCTGTTTGTGTGCCCAGTTTTGTATCCCGTGAATAAATAATTGTCCTACAGATTACAACTGACAAGTGTGTATATATGGAGTATATGTGCCCTCGTAAAAAAGTTTTTAACCCTTTCGCTGCGGCGAGCAGTTTTAATTGGAGATAGTTGGTTGTTATTTATCTTTATATGCTGTCGGAAAATAATTTCCCGTGCAAAAACCGACTTGAGAGTTAATAATTAATTTGGCCCTACACTCTCCCGGTACAACATATACGAGTTTCTCCGACTTTTGTTATGCTTAACAATATGTTTGTGTTTAAACCTTTCTAAAATACATTTTACTCCCACTTTAGTCTTCTGTGTGTCAGCAATCAATAGAACGCTTACAAATCCATGTGATGAGCGTATTGCTGTCAGTAGTCTACTTAATGCTATTAATACAATCAATCCGGCTTATGTGCATCTTGCTTGGCGCTGTCGTAATACGTAAAGCGCCAGGATTGTCACCCTCGAGACTTTATCACACTTGACATACATCGACACACACACTATCTTTCCCCCTCTCTCTCTCTTTCTCTCTCTTATAATTTGATCTTAGCTGAAACACTTGGATGTTGTTTAAGTACCGAAGATTCAGGATGATAGTTGTCTGATTATATCATACTTTACAAACAAAAGTCAAGTTACGTAAATATTACAACGTTAACCGAATAAAACTGTTATTCGAGACCGATCAAAAGCACGTAAACGTAGTATTTAACGTAACGTGCTCCAAGTGAGCTTCCGGAATACGGTTCGGAAGAACGGTTCGAAGTGGTAACGTGGATCTAACCGGTCCACTGCGAATTCGGTAAAGCGACAACAGCGGGATTGCTCGTACAATTACGCTTAAAGGTGTGTTTGCGCACGAGTGCGCCGGACAGCGGTGCTACCACTGTTAATTTCTTGAACTAATTCGATCGATGTTGACTTGCTGTTTCAGTTGGATAGGTTCAAAGAGCCGCCGGCGTTCGGACCGATGTGCGATCTTCTTTGGTCGGATCCTCTCGAAGACTTTGGCAACGAAAAAAATGCGGAGCATTTCTCCCACAATAGCGTCAGAGGTTGTTCGTACTTTTACAGGTGAGTAATAAGTAATAAAAAAATATCTCAACATTACTCAGAACTGTTTTTTTTGTAAATACAAGTATAAGAATGAGGGTGACTTTGAGGTTTAGTTTAGAAAAATCCAAGTTAAGAAATAAAACGCGGCTGTGACGAACAAGATAACAGGATGTATTGCTAATTGATAATCGAAGCGATAGATTTCTAGACGTTTTGACTTTATTTAAACTCATCTTCAGTAGAAAAAAAAATACAATTCCAGCAAAGAGCACAATGTACACAAAAATCAGTGATAACAAAAAATAGAGAAAAAACATACTGTGAGTTTAATTGTCAATCCAGATACAATTGTGTGTTGTAACAATAAAAAATAAATGAAAGTCAAGTTGATATGTCATTAGGATAAAACTAAAAAGAAGTCAAAGTGATTGTTTGAAAAGTATCGTCACAAAACCGGATCGAAAATCAAATTTTACATAAGAAGTATAAAGCGCAAAGAAAGTTCCATTTATCTCAATTGTACGCAAATTACTTTGAGATCTTGTCTATAATCGGTAAATATGTATCTGATAAAAGTTCATACTTAATAGTATTCTTCGTCACATTGAGACCATCGCTTTGTAACTTATCAGCAATACATCCTGTCATCTGGTTCGTCACAACCGTTTGATTTTTTCTTAACTTGGTTGTTTTTATAAAAACCGATTCTCTCTTTCCGGACATAAACTCTTGTATCTGTTTATATCTGATAGAGAGAGAGAGAAAAAATATTGAACAGTAAATCACAGAAAAACTACATTACAGTTGCAACGGTTTAAAAACGTGGTTTGAATAATCAGAAAACGATAACGCTAGTTGATAACCACGTGGTGTTAATGTAATGATAGAGACTGTGTTTTAAAGCAGAGAGAAAAAAAAACGGTGAGAGATCTTTCGCCATCTGGTTGAGATGGATTTTTTTTTTTTTTTTTTTTTGCTTCTTATATTACTGCAAAAATACGATATGCTTGTGCGATATATCTCGCGGTTGTCGTCGCAAGTCGGTTCTCGTTTTTCTCCGCCATAGCTGCTCATTTTCTTCCCTTACCGGGTAATTATCTCGCCGTTTGTCTCGAGCGGCGCGCAAACCGAAAGCCGTGCGCCGTGTTCCGCAAACACAACCTTCTGGCGTGATCACATAGCGTGAAACGAGGAAACTTCGAGAAGGATTCTCTCTCTCTCTCTCTCTCTCTTTCCCCGGTGACTTCTGACCTTAGTTCATTTCGCTGAATCTTCTTACGTTTGCGGTCCTTCCTTCCTTTTCTCTTCCTCAACGTGGTTATCTTGTATTCGATATTCGTGAATGTCCGCGGACACTGTCCCGCACGAGGATTAATAACGAACAGCGGCGTTACACGACAGTAAACCGCAGACACGACAGTCTCTCTTCTTGCGGATCTGCTAATTGTACGTACGGCCGTGCTAATGAGCACCGAGATTCGTTAAGTGTCAGCCGTCTCGCGTGCTCGTTCATAACGTTTCCCGCTCGCTCATCCATCCATGTGTGTGTGTGTGTGTGTGTGTGTGTGTGTGTGTGATGTGAAGCGCGCGTCCACGAGACAGAATGTAATAAATTAAACTCGGTGGAAAAACGAGACGTTTTTATATACATCGTCATCCAAGGGCAATTTTCAGCGATGGATTGATATTAAATGTCTATCTATCTCTTTCTTCTCTCTTTCTCCTTGTTTTCTTTCATTTTACTTTGTTATTGATGTTGTTGAACGAGACACGCAAACAAAGAATTATATTGCGTTTTAACGCTTAAGTTATCTCTCGAGCCAGCTATTTAAAAAAGGAATTTCAAGTGGATTTGAGTAATCAAGTTGTTCATTCATACATACACGATCATGAACGATCGCGATAAGATAATAACGGTCGTTATGAAGACGTTCCGGGTAACACCGCGGGTCCGGTTAACTCATTTTCGATTCCCGCATTATCGTGTTTCGGTCGAGGGATATAGGTAACGTGCATTAAGTTTCACGCGAACATAAATCACACGCCGTGTCTCGAGCAGTATGCGAGCAGTCTGCTGGTAATCACTGTCGGTCGTCCGATTACAGCCTGACTTGTACTACTTGCGCGTTCGAACGTCCATCCCGTAAAGAAGCTCTTGATTACTTCCTTTAATGACTCGAAAGTGGCTGTACGGCTCTCTTCCTCTCTCTCTCTCTCTCTCTCTCTTTCTCTTTTTCTTTTATAAAGAAATATATCTCGCGCTATACTATAATAACGCGAAATAAATCATCTTATCGTCATACCGTGTGCGTATCGAAGTTAAGATTTATCGACCCGAGAGATCGATGCCGGTCGGCGTTGGCGAGCGACGCGGTTTTCGAGAGATTTCACTGCGTCATTAATCTCTGTCGGCGCTATGAACGGGTCTTAATGGCTACTAACGATCTCGCCGCGACGTGGCGCAAACATTTCTCACGATCTTTGCCCGGATCAGTTATGTTATAGCGCGAAAAGGGTCATCCTGTACGTGTTGACGTCTTCGGTGGCTTAATTTGTTTACGGGAACCTACACACGCGTCATGTCCGTCACGCACATTGTGTGTTCTGATTTGACAGCAATACATCACGATTAAAAGCTAAAGCGGTGCGTAAGATTCAGAACTCGCGCACGTTGACAATTTATATAAATCTCGCAATTTTGCAGACGAGACGCTCAAGCATTCTCGAGAAAATAAATAGACACACAGAATTTATTCAAATTATTTAGCGCAATCCAACAAATTCGCGAAATTGTATTAACAAAGTCGCGCTAAAGATCTGTGCATGCTCGACAAGTTAAGATTGATTATTTGGCGCGTGAACAATTGTTTTTGATGCGGGTGCCAAGAGAGCGAGAATCACACCCGTCCGCGTAATCCGGATCGCGTAATTTCAAGATACGCGTTTTCTCGAAATAATTATTCACGCGTTGGACAGTGGTTGTTCCTTACTTTTCTTAAATCCTTGCTTCTCTTTTAAAATATTTATTTATAAATCTTATTTGTTCTCTACAACAGAACGTTGCAACAAAATGTGGTGCGCGTATTTGAAAAGTTAGTATCGAATAAAATTTCTTAAGCCAAGTGCTTTACATAATTGCGGCAATTATTTTCACGTTACTTGTTAATACGTGTTCAAAGTGTAAATTTATTCACAAGCTCTCGAGTGTTTCCATTAACTTGAAAAATTCGTCTTTAGCGAAATTATCGTCTCAATTGAGCACCTCCAGTTTCAAGCGAACAATCGATTATGTTTGTTTCCAGTTACGCGGCGTGTTGCGATTTTCTGCAGAACAACAATTTGCTCAGCATCATAAGGGCGCACGAAGCTCAGGACGCCGGATATCGTATGTACCGAAAGTCTCAGACGACGGGCTTCCCATCGCTTATTACCATCTTTAGCGCACCCAACTATCTCGATGTGTACAACAACAAGGTATGAGTGTCTTTTGCGTTTTTTTTCACAAATCGCGATTTTTATCTCGCGATCTCTCGAGTCGTTTTGCTATTTATTTATTTAAAGGAAAGACCTGGCGTTTCTGTGAAATACACGAACACTTGGTATGAAATTTTAATCTGGTAAAAAAAAAAAAAAAGTACAACGACAAGTTCGCATATAAGTGACATGGTCATAAAAATGTCGATAATCGTTACACCCGCAGGCGGCAGTTTTAAAGTACGAAAACAACGTGATGAACATCAGACAGTTTAATTGCTCGCCACATCCTTACTGGTTGCCCAATTTTATGGACGTTTTTACATGGTCCCTGCCATTTGTCGGTGAGAAAGGTAAGTGTTAGTTTGAAAACCGCGCGAGCTTTCGCTTTTATAAAAATATTATATTTTTTACACGTTATCTACTTCCCCTGGGAACAATGCTTTAATCTGTTTTTTTTGTTTTTTTTTTTCAAAAAAACACCCGAAGAAAGAATATAGAACACAATTTTCACAAAAAAAAAATATTGATTTTTTTTTAATTGAAAAAAGTTGAAAAAAAAATTCTTTCTTTCTCTGTCGAAATAGCTGTAAAATTATTTGTTGCAAGAAATATAGTTTGCTTCAAATTCAAGGAACGGGTTTTCTGTTTTAACTTTCAGTCACGGAAATGTTGGTGAACGTACTGAACATTTGCTCGGACGACGAGTTGATGAGTGACGGCGATGACGCGCTCGAGGAAGGTAATGTCCACCACTTGATTCGCGTATCCATCATCTTAATCCGAATACAATTTATTTTGCAGATGTTTCGAACAAAATCGACACCAGGACTGGTCTCTCTTATATCGTGATCAGAGCCTTTGCTTTTTTACCTTTTTATTTTGAGATTATTCTTGTTGTGTCTGAGTTTCTTGTTCAATATATAAAATCGTACAGAGACACGAAATAAAAAAATTAAAAAATTAAAAAAAATCAACACAATTGCGGTTGACGCGCGATAAAAAATAATTTTTCTCAAGCGTTTTTTTGTTGAAAATTCAAAAAATTCTACATGTGTTCGAAGAATCTCGCAATTATGCGATCGTTGAAAGAGAAGTGTAATTCTTACTGAATCGTTCAATCTGCGGAAGAACTTTTTTGAGCAAATCTCGTCTTCGATAAATTCATTCCGTTCAAGGCGCGCTCCAATAACGGCGGGCGAAACGAGGCACATTTCAATTTTATCCGTCGGGAAGGAACGAACGAAGAGAACGCAATAAGACGCGGACTGAGATTTCGTTAATATCTGAAATCTACAAGCTCCGACACGATCTAAGAGAGGCCAACGTCACTTTTTCGTCGCGCATCGAGAAAAGAGAGAATGCGCGGATTCATCTCTCAGGTTCCGCCGTGCTGCGGATCGCCGTTTGAAAAGAGTCAGAGATGATCTAACGATGAAAAATGAATTTGAGATTTCGCGCCTGTGTGAATCGTCGCATTCTCTCTCACAAAAGAAGATCGATTGTGCACGTGCTGCCCGGATTGGACACGCAAAACGTTGCGGATTTTCACGAAAAACTGACGCCGCATTATTTTCTGCGGCGCGACTAAACAATAAAAAAAATTGGACGCGTTCGGAACGAATATGCTTTTAATTTTTCATTTTGTTTCTTTTTTTAATATTTCATTCGATTTTACTCAAAAAATTCTCCTTAATTTTACCGACGAACGTTACGGCGAATTTTTTCCTCGCGCGGAAACAAGCAACAAGCACGAGCACGATCGAGTCTTGCCGATCAAGTCGAGCCGCAATTTCTTAGATCGATATGTAGCACCTCTGCGAATTTTACATATTCTCAGTACTTTCATATATATCACTCCTTCTCGATTCACATAATTTTGCTAATGCTCGCGCACCTTTCTTCTAAAAAAAAAGTTCACCTTTTCGAGCGGAAGTTTGAAAAAAAAAAAAAAAAAAAAAAAAACAGAGGAAAAAGAAACACGAAAAATGACATTTCTCTAAGCGCAATTTTTCCGCGCGCATATTGTCGCGCCGAAAAAAAGCAGTCAATCTAAAATATATATCTCTATCATTCCCTCACCATCTCACTCTTGAAACTTCCAGAGACAAATCTTGAATTCTCTTTCTGTTTGCATTTTCACTCGCTGCACGGACAGATGGTAAGATACGCCGCTCGATTCTTCTAGACGTCACACAACTAAGAGCTTCATTGATTATCATTATTTTTTAGCTATTTCATATAGTAGTTTCTCGATGTCAAATTTCTTTTCCCCTTTATACCTCTCTTTACTCTTTTTATTGTCTCTTTTTATCTCCTCTCTGTCTTTCTTTTTTTTTTTTTTTTTCTTTTTTGACTACATCTTTTGTCCGCGACGTCGTGTCGCATTTTTTCATGGGAGACGCAGAATGTGTACGTATACGTTCGTACCTATCGTTTTTTTCTCCTTTTTTTTTTACGTCTTTCGTTTTTTTTCTCTTTAATATCTCTATACGCGTGCGCGTGTGTACATATATATATTCATCATTTTCTCTATATATGTTTTTTTTTCTCTCCATCTTTGATCATATCTTTCTCATGGTATTTATACGGTTTCTTGTGCATCAAGGTATGAGGTTTTCTTGTCTTTTTTCTCTTACATCTCTTTATCTGTCTATCTCTTTCTCTCTTTCTCTCTCTCTCTGTCTCTTTCTCTCTCTCTCTTTCTCTCTCTGTCTCTCTCTCTGTCTCTCTTTGGCAGTATTTTATTTTTGACTTCCTATTTCCGATTATATACGTATGTACGTGTATGTATGTAATACATATTCAACGTGTCTTGACGGCACAGCCTGGATTTGTACATCTTCACCAAATGAAGTAGATGTTGATTTTCTGCATCAATTACATTCATTATAGCATTTTCATTTTCTCGTCTCTCCATATATATATACGTTTGTTCAAGATGGCATTGGAAACTGGCACATCCTCTCTTTTGCTTGTTCTCGAGATGCACAGTAATTATTACCTTTACAAAAGCTTTCAAAGTGTTTGTTGAAAATCGATAAAACCATTCAAGAGAAGGATATCATTTGCCATCTTGCGCATTACGCAGTTTTCATGCATGCATCGTAGCAAAAGAAATGACACCAATTTGTCATTTCGGCATCATCTTTTTGTTATTTTATTTTTTTTCAATATTATAATATTCGAACTCCAAATCGTTTTTATTTATCACTCCGATCAACTTTGTGTATCATTGTCCAACTTCCATTGTCAAGTTCGAGTTCTCTCACGCATCATGTCCATCCCCGTCCATTCCTGCCGGCCTGTTTTATTTATTTATTTATTTTTTTGTTATTTTTCGTTTTTGTGCATTTCTCATGTAATATGTACCTCTCAGTACGATCATGAATAATTGATTCTACGTGCGAAAAATTAAAAATGATCAAAACCACTTCCGGGCGGATGGAACTTCGCGACCGGCGGCTGTAATCGCGAGAAGCAATTTTCTCTCGTCGCGATTTATGAAAATTTCAGCTCGCGAGTACTTTTATGATTCATCAAATCATCTAAGATTTATTCCGTTCGCGCGCGCGCGTTACACATACGCGCGACTTAAAAAAGACACTAATTCATTCGCGCAATTCGTAACGTGTCGGAAGATCAGATCGATATGCAACCATCCTCCCGTGTCAATCAAAGATCGGACCACCAAAGATCGGGTCTAAGAATATCCATCCACCTCGAATTTGGTTTTCGAGTCAAGAAAAAGTCAAGCAAAGTTCCCTTTCTCATCTTCATTACTCCCCCCTCCCAAAAAAAGCCGATCTCGTGACTAACGTGCTCGCGAGAAACATCTCCTGGCTGTTGCGGCTGAATCGCTTTGATCGGAAGAAAAAAGAAAAAAAGAGTTCAAGTAAAATGTTCCGATGTTTCGATCAATAAGATACCCTCGATTCTTGTCCCCTTCTTTTATACCCCTCTTCCCTGGTTTCATCTCCTTTAATTATTGTGAGAGTTATATGCGCCGTCCTCTCAACTCCTTTGCTACTGCCCCCCCCCCCTCTCAAAGTTGCACTCTGACTGTCTTTTATCGTACTCCTTCTCTATTATTTTTGTATCAATCACACTGGCCTTGGACTCCTCCTATCTCGGCACGACACTATGCTACTACCTCTACTACTTCTCTACTACTACTACTTCTACTACTACCACTCAAAACTCCGATCGTTCGGCATACCGCAACTCCCGTAAAGTCGCAGCCAAAGTCGTTGTTCAAAAAAAGAATGGTAAGTCCCCGTGTTGAGAGCTGACGACTTACTTTCTTGAAAGAGCCAAGATTTTTTCTTCTTTTTCGAGCGTGCCAAGAGTAACCCAAAACGAGAGAGATTTTTTATTTTTGTCTTCTTCTTTCTCTCTCTTTTTGTACATATATATATATATATATATATATATATATATTTATATTTTATATATATATATTTACAATATATATTTGTGGTATATATATACATATATATACATATATATATATATGTACACATATACATATATTAACTCTTTTTTTTCCTATTTTGCCAGTGTTTTCTCTTGCGTTTCGATTTTCTTTTTTTCTTCTTTGTTTCTTGCGTCACGCCGGTGCGCTTCGTGAAGCGTTCTGCCAGATCGGATGTAATATGTTTTGCGTGTTTTTTTGTGTATTTCATTTTTGTCGATTCTCTTTATACCTGTGCAATTCTCTCAAGTAATCAACCGTGAGTCGACGCAGAACAATATTATGAGTCTTTACTTGCAACTTTATTATTGTTGACGTTATGACATAAATTTTTACGATCAACGTTGTGTATATATATATAGCTTTTGGCATGAATGTAAATTAGCTTTGTATCGTATATTATTCTTGAGGTTACATTTGTTATTACATCGTAAATACATTTCTGCGACATACACTTTTTACATTTAACTTCTTCGAAACAAAGAACCGTATATATATATATAATTTGAAGTTTACACAAATTCTTCGGTGGATTTCAGTGTGTGAATGAGAATAACAAAAAAAAAACATGAACGCCAAACATGAACGTACCGCGCGACAGTTATTTTCTCGTTTAAGTGAAATTTTTTTGCCTTCGTTCGTTTTATATCTCTGTCTATACTTATACATATTTCTATCTTCGTCATCATCTTCTACTTCCTTCAAAACGTGTTATATATGTATATATATATATATAACCGTGTTCTTCGACTTCAGATTGAGCAATAACATTTATAACTGTACCATTAATCGTCAGACAACACGCCGATGAACGTCCCCGTTTTTTCACCCGCCGCCCTTCCGTTTTTCCTTCCGTTTTAAACCGGCTTCTGTTGTGTCAAACATATCTTTCCGCTTTTGTACCACGTGTACCTCAGTTTTGTCTATTTACACGCTGAATTAATTGCCACGATAATCTCACCCATTCCTCTTACTTTCCATCTAATTTTTATATTAACTTTTTTTTTTTATCTCCGTTGAATTTTTCCCTTGCTTGCTTCTTGACGCTTTTCGACGATCAACTACTTCTTACTACGTACGTACACGAGATATGCACCGAATCTTAAAAAAAAAAAAAATCTGAAAGAAATATATATTATTTTCCCGATTTGAAGAAAATCGTCAACAAGTAATTAATGAACAACTTAATGATATGCGGGTGAAGCATATGAAAATCACTCGAGATTCGATAAAAAAAAACTTTTCTCCCTCTCCTGATACTTCACAAACTCTACTTTTCTATATACACCCTATCTCGCGCTATCGATTCCAAAGTAACGTCACGCATAATGGAAAATACGATCCCTCTATATACACGGTTTCGTGACTTGGAAAAGATCGTCGTCCACAATAACGGCAGATTCGCGCGAATTTATGTTCTCGTCTCGAGAAGAGCTTCGTAAATCTTCTCGGTGGATTAGTCGAGAAAGTTACAGTGAATATATGCATCCCATTCGATCGTTCGGTCTCTTTCTCTCCCGTTTTCTGCAACCTTCTCTTTCTCTCTTTCTCTTTCTCCTCTCTCTCTCTCTCTCTCTCTTTCTCTGTCTCTCTCTCTTTCTCTCATTTTTGCTTACGTCCTCGCTCGCTTCTCTTCTTTCACACAGAATTTAGCCGACGAATTTCCGCAATGCATTCGTTACGGCGTTCGCAACACGGTTTTACGACTTGGAGAAATCACTCTCTCTCTCTCTCTCTTCTCGCCCTTCTCTGTCATCCCCCGTGTCTCCACCTCGTTTGAGTTTCGCTCGTTTGACTTGACTTCGGTTTATTTGCGCGCTTTACGATGCAGCGTGAGATATTTCGCTCTTGTGTGCGCATATGTTTGTGAGAGTGTGTATATGCGCGCGCGCATCCTGCAGAATGTGTGTGTGTGTGTGTGTGTGTCCGCTTGCTCATTCTCTCTTACAACGTTCAGAGACGAGCGCACATTGGACGCTCCACTAACAACGCTTCCGGTTTTATAGGCATGACCAGTTGTGTGCCGGGCTTCGTCCGACACGTTCGTCAGATTCCTCTGATACGGAGAGAGATCCATCGGTATCTCCGATTAGTCATCAAGAATATTGTTCTGCTCTAATTTGAAATAGATATTCGAATTTTTGTGTGGCTTACGTTTGTTAAAAAGTAAAATAAAATAAAAAAAATTGCTTCGTAGACTTATATACGTGTGATTAACGATGAAAAGTAAAAAAATAAGTCAGAAAAAATGATGCGGTTTTATAATACTCGCGCTTTGAAAGATTAATGATAAACTTCGAGAATACTCGATCTCGTTATTATCTTGAGATATTAATAAAGTTCCGCAACTCTGTCTGTCATTAACATATGTCCAAAGCCGCTTATAAGCTCCCTCAACTTCTTATCTGATTTGCTAACTATATTGATACGAAAAATCGATACGCTTAAATCTCTCCCGAGTTGCACGTCACTGTCACGTAAGTCGTATTTAATTAACTATAACGCGATCGACAAGATCTTCGGACAATTTCCGGTCAGCTCTTCGGGCTTTCGTCGGGTTCTCGCCGTCGTTTTCACCGACATGTGCCGCTTACTGCAGATCCCATTGTCGCTTCTCGTTTGTGTCGTCCCGCGATGCTTTCCTCCGGAGCAAAATCCGGAGAGCGAAAGAGGCTTTCGGTCGCTATGGAGAAGAGAGAGACTCCGCAATGGCCCGGGAAGGTGTAGCCGATCGATAGAACGCACCGTGAGTAGAGTTTTGTGAGATAACGAGGGAAGGCCGCGGCGGAGCATCGATCAACCGGTTGATCTGCCGGCTTTCGAGAGCGCCGCGCGGTCGGTTCCGTCGGCATCTTACCCTCTCGTCGTCTCATCTCCTCGCACATGCCAACTCGAGTCAATCGTTCATTCCTACTCGCATTGGCTGCATTCCGACGCGCAGAGATGCGCCAAGGGGCACGTGGAGAGAGTTCCACGCGAAACGTATACGATGCAGCGGGAGAGACGGATATTACTCGGGGTTCTATCCCTGCGTAGAATTTTACGCAGTTTATCAAAAGAAGATTTTCTTGATAGAACACTATATCTCGTTACGAATGTTTATCTTTTCTTCGGAAAATTGCGTGGGATTTAAAGAGGAAAAGGCCAATCGGCTTTTCCGACGGGATGAAGCCTCTCTTTTCGCTGATGCTTGAAAGGTATATCAAACGCAGCGAGCAAAATTGATATCGCTCGTCTCGGATTAGTTCAAACGAGAAGGTTACGCAATATTCTCTGGCAACGGATCATCCTATTGTCGTATTCATCTTTTTTTCTCTTTCTTTCCCTCTCTCTCTCTCTCTCTTTCTCTCAACGTTAAACAGTTTTCCGAGAAGCCTTCAGTTTTCTTGCTCGAAACGAGAAAGGGCAGAAACGACGTCCGGCTATAACGAGTTCAAGTCTCAGAACGAAAAGGAAGTGTCTCTACAGGGAGTATGAGGCTATTTTTCACTTTCCCCAGGTGGACCAGCTGCGGTGGCATCGCCGGGGTTCTCTTTTTTCTACGTTCTCGTCGAGTTCTTCATCCCGAACGTGGAAACCTCACGATCTTTTACTTCGTTTCCGCGGACGATCAATACAAATTCGCGTTCGGAATAAATTCACGCGCTTATATACGTTCGACTTTCGCAATGTAATATTGATTTTTTTTTTTTTTAATAGATATTTTATTTTTATCAACCTTTATTATTTTTTATTAATCTGTATATATATATATATATATATATATATATATATACGTGCATAAATCTTCTGTGAAAAAAAGTTTAAGATGGAAAAATATCGGTTCTCTACAGGTTAATCATTTTCTCTAGAACGCTTGAGATTTAAAGTTTTTATAATATTTTCTACGAAGAATAATTGATAGATTTGATGGGCGATTTAAAAAAAAACCTTTGTAATCTTCGAGAGTGATAAGGAATCCGTGTCACGTCTTGATGATGGTTATGCTTTCGAATTGAAACGGGTTCGAACGTTTCTCTTTAATTGGCTGATGCGAAGCGATTCTCGTCGCGCATTGTGAACGAAGCTGAGAAGAGTCTTCCCTCTGCGTCTGTTATTTTATTTTTACACTCTATTGAAGGCTTTTAATAAGCAAGCTATTCAACCACAATATTTTTCCCTAAGCCTGTCTTTATCCCGCGACATTCGCATTGTCGTTGTCTTCGTTTTCTTTTCTTGTTCGCTTTTCCCTTTTCCTCGACTCTCCACTTCACTCTTGTTCTCTCTTTCTCTCTCTCTCTTTTTCTCTTTCTCTCTCTCTCTCTTTCTTTCTCTCTCTCTCTCTCTATTTCTCTCTCGTAACGCTATGACTTATATTTCGAAAAAAAACATCACGAAATGTGCTACGCGATTCATGCCGATGCACAACGCATACTGTGTCTCGGTTGCGCAAAGTTGCCGGACACACCTTTCCACTTTACGAAAAAGTCACTCCCAACGTTGGCTGACATCCGACGTCGCGCGCTTTAATTTTTCTCTCTTCTCTTCCTCCTGTGTACACAAACACACGCACACACACACACACACACATGTATGTTATTATATTCTAGCTCGCTCACTTTCTATCTTCATTTTTTTTCACCCTTCACACACTCCGACTCTCTCACTCTGTCACTCTGATTTCGTTTTTTGTGGTTTTTTTTTTGTGTTTCGTCTTTCTCTTTACTCCTGAATCTGTTCATTTGTTATCGTTTTGTTTTTATGTTTAAGTTACCTCTGTCTTGAGTTTTAAGTTGAGTACGTATATATATATAT